AGTTGGGAGTTGCTTTCTCCTCACTGAGATGCCTCCCCCAGCCTCTAACTTCAGGTTTGCTGCTTAAGTTGTCCTTCCTTGTCCCTCCAGTTACTGGAACAGCTATTCCTGTAACTATCTCATTAAGAAATCTGTCACCTACACCAGTCTCAGCAGCTTGAAACCTCATGGGAAGAAATTCTAAAGATGAACTGCTTATTGAATTTACGCTTCATGCAACCGAAGTGCCCATGCAGAGACTGTTCAGTCTAGGAGAGAACATATGTTGTACTTGTCCCCTAACCCTGCCTTTGCCTCCTGTTTTGCTCTTTTAACAAATATAAAAGGTAGACTTGACGGATGAAGAACTTCTCATCCTTTTGTTAACAAACAGGAAATATTACTGATACTGCAGACATATAGCTCCCTTTCTTACAGGAATACTTGGTGCCATAATGTCCATGTTTTTGTGAGAGAAGTTTTGCCAATAGATGGGTAACCTCCTTTGTGAAGGAGGTTAAGTGCAAACCTGTGTAAGCCTGACAGCTTTGAGACTAGTATCTTCAGTGTAGGTGCAATACCTCATAAACTGTGAACATGTTCCCTGTCTGTCCTGGAGAGGTAACTTCTTCCATCAGTAGGGGCTCGATGCATTGCCTGAACATGGGTGTTTAGTGCCAGCTGGGATGCCATTAGAGGTCCCTATGGGGCTTTCAGATAGCACACAGGACCCTCAGGATATCCATGCCCTTTGGAAGCAGTAATGGCAAGGAGACTTGGGCACACACCCTTTCTCTGCGCCTGTTCCCTGGTGGTTAAAGACCTAAGGCAGCTTTCATCCACACTGGGCAGCTTCAGCCCCTCAAGGGCTGGACTCTAACCGGCAAACAGCCTAAGCGCAGCTCTTCCCTGATGCTCCTAAGAGATGCTAGACTTCAGGATTTTAATTGTCAAACACCGTGCTGCACTGTGCTGCTTGTACTAGTTTAGGTTTTCTTCATTTATAATATTATGCTAGTTGCTTGAGACGTGCTTTAAGTACGACAGCTCAGTACCAGCTACTTGTTAGAGCTTTTTATACAGGTAATTACCCCATCTCACACTGTCTGTGTAATAAAGGAGAGGTCTGTAGCTGTGGCCTGTTTGTGCATATGCTGCAGTTAAACAAACTGTCAAAGTGAAAGAAAATTGGATTGCACTGGATACATGTTAAATGTATCCAGGAAGTAACTCGCTAAACAAAACAAAGGGAAGGTTAAGTTTTAGCTTTGGAAAGTGGCAGTCATCCTACAGAACTGTCACTGCAAACACAGCATAAACAGAGAGCACACAGTGATTTCCCAGAATCATACAAGGCATTTGTAACTGAAAGGACTGTGATTTTTTTTTTCTCCCTTTCAGACCATTTATACTAAAGCATTTTTTCAGACTAGCTATGTCTCTGTAATCTCTGACATTCTGTGCTTTTTCAGGCCTTTCACCATTTGCTTTTGCCTTCTGAGTTGTTTCAACCTTTCTCTCCACAAACTGTTGCCTACAGCCTGCCTCTCACCCGGCCATTCCCTCTCCTGTCCAGGCCCCATCACCCTGAAAATCACTCCCTTTCTTTTTTTTTTTTTTTTTTTTTTTTTTTTTTTTTTTTTTTTTTTTTTTTNTTTTTTTTCACCCTGTAGCAGAGGAGTTAAAGACTTCTTCACTGTCTCCACGTGAATCTGAGTGATGTGGCTTGGGCTAGTGGGCCCCTTACAAGGCACAGAACTACAGTTTCACCATGAAAAATATTAACTATGGAAGGATGTATATTCAGGCTACTTGGAATACATTAGGAAGCTATAATGCAAGCAAGCATTTGGTCATACCCTGTAGGTTCATACTTTATGTATATCTGTAACAGGTCTTAACGTCTTGCTATTTCACAGGACTTTAACACAGATTTTTACAAAAACACAAAGGATAACAGACTATTAAAATTGTACTGTAACTAAGTGAAAAATGACTCATTTGCCCGTATAATCCAATCTGCTTAAAATAAAAATCACTGATTTAACATACCAGGCACGGAAATATAGACACGATCACTATATTCCAAAAGCTCAGGATTTGAGAACTTACATAGCCACAATGTAATGTTTCACACAGACAATCAGGAATCAAGAGAAGACACAAAAGGGAATCTCTTCTGTGTTTACAAACCTGTAGAAATGCAGAATTTAAAATGTCTATTAGCAGACTAAAGCAAAACCATACTACCTACAAAAAAAAAAAAAAAAAAAAAAAAAAAAAAAAAGGAAAAAAAGGAAAATCTACCACAAAAGCAGAGAAATCCCATGTACTGTCACACTGTATTTTTCAGTAGGACATTAAACAGATTATTTTAATAAGAATTATTCAACGGGAATGACAGGAATGTATTGATTTGGGCTTATTTACTATATGTAAACACACTTACATTTTTATGAAATCTCCTGGCAACACAAGTAACAATAAACTAGGTCAAACAAATACTCAGAAGAATACATCCCAAAATAAAACTCCTCCCTTCCCTTTCCATAAAACTAAACACAAGAAGACTATGCATCAGAAAGGGCCGAGATGAAGCAAACAAGGGAGCAATCATTATTTGAGGTATTTCAGTTACTAAATTCCTATAAACTTGTCTAACTTGCTAATGAAACAGACCTGATCAGAAGTTTTCACAATTAATCCCAGACTGCCAGACACCTCAAACAAGCGCAGGTTTGACCAGCTGCCTTAGACTTCTCGTGGCATCCACATTCAACACGCAATTGCACCCAATGCTGTGATCTTGGATTCTGACATCTTTGCACTGTCCTTCATTAGCAGCAGCAAAATTGCAGCACTAAGCTGAGACAACACGAACATCTCATTAAGACGTTCGTGGCATTTGTTCCTTGACGCTGGCTGAAGCCTGTGATTTTCATTCCTTTTGCCTACTGATGTTGCTTTCATTTGTTCTATTCTCATAACAGTGAATTCAGAGGACACTCGCTCATTGGATCTGGGATTACTTTCTGAAAATGAGGACAGGGGATTCTACACCGAGAACTTCCATTCTGCTTCTTGGGTTTTCAGAGGAGATGATGTTTCGCCCAACAATAGTCCCAGATGTCTCAGCAAAAGGCCTAGACCAGTGGCAAGTAAGTAGGCTAAAGTTATACCTAACTGATGTCATAAAACTGTACCTAATTTGGGCACTCTGTGGCTACTGCAGGATTAACATTTTGGAGAAGATGCCAGACTTACACTGAAGACAAGAAAAAAAAAAAAAAAGGAATACAAAAAAGCAAAAAATAATAAAAAAAAAGGATTAAAGACTAAATAAATATTTCTTATTGACCTAATATCTCAAAATACTATGATTACTTGACAAAAAAATCCATATTGGTAATAGGACAGAATAAAACCTCATCTCTTGCTGCATGATAAACACAAAAACAAAGTTTGTGATAGCTTCTTCAAGCATGGCAACATCAAACAAGATTATTTGTGGATATAAAGTATATTTAATCATCATAAAATCAGTTCTCTCTCAAGTTTTCAAGCAGTAGATCCAGAGAGAAAAAAATAAAGTTCATTATGAGCATGAAGAAGTTTTCTTGTTCCATTTGCAGTTTAAAACCTGTCAGGCAAACAAGATACAGGGAGTGCTGCTTTGTTTGTTGGGGTTTCCTTTGCTTTTCAAATGTTACTGAAAGCTAACATATTTTCAAGAGCTAAGAGCAAAGTGAAACAACTCTGTAGCCTTCCAGGAAATAGTTCTTTGCTGGAGCTCATAAATCATTCACCACACACTGGAGGAAGCAAAGTGTTCCCTATAAATCTCCAGGTATGAAAAATCTCCTTTAAAATACATGAGAATATTCTACAGAGCATTTTGATTGTTTTCTCTCCCCAGAGGGGAGTCATAAGTTTAGCAAACCAGTTAAATTGGGTATTGAATGATCTATGCTCTTTTAGATAGATGATGACAATTAGCTTGCTGGTAACCAAATATTACATGATTTGAAGACAAAACAACTATCACAAAACATTATTAAACTGGCCCTCGTTAAACAAATACAAAAAAAAAAATCAAAAGTAGACACTCTGAGAAAAGAATTTCAGTTTACACTCGAGTCTGTCAGAAATACAACCTTTGCTAAGGATTCAGTCCTTCTGAGACATGATACCAACACTAGGCTTTCATTGCTGTCACAAGAAAGGGAAATATTGAAATGTGAAGTAGAGAATTAGACTCTGATCTTCCTTTCCAAGGAGGATGATCCTTTTATGTGTTGAATTCCACTGACTTGAAAGACACTTCATATGGGTACAGTGATGCAGTAGAAAATCCCAATGTGGTGGAAGGGTTTGGACTATGACAGAGTGGGAGTGGGGAGCAGACAAGGAAGGGCTGAAAGAATAAAAAGGAAGGAACTGATGTCTAGAAGATAGAGAGAAACAAAAACTAGATAGAGAAAAACAAAATAACTATAGTTCAAGAAGTAGACTTAAACTCATTCAAGAATTTAGTGTAAATTTTGTATTTGTAGCTTAGGACTCTGACACACATTCCCTTAACAGCGGGCAGCAGTGATTTTCTCTCCATCAATGCAGTGAAATGTTTGCACATGTCCTCACCACTTCAGTGCAAGGTCCAGCTGCTCCCCTTAAACTGCTGATGAAAGCACAATTCTCTGACGGTGCCTGCCTTGGCCCCGAGATGGCTGAGGTTTTGTCAGCACCACAGCGTGAGGGTGATAGAGGCTGATGGAGAGGCAGCAGCAAGCAGCAAGGAGCAGTGCTGCGACCATCGAGCAACTGGCAGGATGAATGTGTGTGGGCTCCTCGAGAGAGAATGTTTCTATAAACAAGCTGCTGTTTCTTAAGTTGGATTTGACTTGCAGAGAAAAAACGATCTCCTTTTCCCTCCCCTGCAGTTCGTGAAAGAACAGTGAAGATTGCCAAAGGGACGGGCAGCTACCCGTGGGGCTTCCGAATCCAGTTCTCAAAGCCTATCCTTGTCACGGAAGTCGACACAAGTAAGTAGCATCACTTCCTATTATCCACCAACAGATTTTTACAGCAGAACTTCATCTGCACAGTTAGTGGATGTGAGGCATTTAATAAAATACACTTGCACTTCTGAACGGTCTGTGACAAACCATGTGAAGGCCCCTGCAGGCGTGGAGGCAAAGTGAGGGAAGGGCTGGCCCTTTGTGGGACCGGCATCCAGCAGCAGACACAAGCACGGAATGAGATAGAGGATGCTCCCACTCCTTGGGTGCCATGTGCTCTGCTACTCTTTGCATCTCAGGATTGACACAGTCGGGTTAGAGCAGGAATAACAGGTAGAGTAGACTCTTGAAGATTTTGGCTACCAAAGACTCGATGAAAACTGGCATCCCACACCAGGAGGGCCCACCAGCAAGGCATCTAAGAACAGCTCTGCTGCTCTCCTGGTCTTGGGTATCATGTGTTCCTGTTTCCTGACTGCACTGTTCTGAAAACGGAGGCTTTAGCTGAGCCCATCACTTTAAAAACTGCGTACAAATGGTATCATTAAACTCCTCTAGAGAATAGCAGAAAAGCCAGAAATCCGAGCAAAGGAGCCAAACACAGAGAACCAAATGACATATCTGAAAGGTCAAACACATTACAAGCTTTAAGATTTGTATCAGAATCCCACACATCCCCTTAAGGATGGAACATTGTTAGATTTATACCTTAGCTATCACGTTTTGTACGTGATGCTCTTCATGACTTCTAAAAGTCATTCTAACTAGTTGCCTCAGGACAAATGTCCTGCTTATTAAATGCAAGACATAAAAAGTCTTCAGTCTAGAAGAAAAACTCATGCAAAGGACAGATGGATTCAATAGAAAAAAATAGTTAAAAGTGGTTAGCTTATTTTGTAACCATTTGCAGAAACTGGCTATGACTTATCCAAGGATCTCTTAATCTCTTACTGTAGTCTACATGTAAATAAACATGTTTTTGGTAACATAGCAATTGTTCTGGGCTCAGAAATGTACAGCCCATAATTCTATTATCAATTGAAATCTAGCCAATAATGTGAATCTAAAAAATATTTTGCCTGCAGAATACTATATAAGGGACCAGCTAAGACTGAATTACGGCTGAAGTGACTATATAATAACATTTATTCCAAGCCATCTACATAAATTCATTCCAGAATACTTTTGATATCCATAAGCCATTGAAACTAGATAATCTTCACAGTGTAACCCACATGCAAAACGATAAGGCATGAATCTGAAAAGATAATTTTGAAAAAACAATCTCTGCTCATATTATTAGAAGGTTACTTTTAAGAGCAAGGTAAAAGACTGCCATTGTCCATTGCTAATTATTTTAGGAAAACAAAATTTCTGGGTTCTGCCATTATAGGTCTAAATACCACAGCTATGGTGAAGAGCACTTGGACAACTAGCTGCAGTATCACATGGCTGGGAATTCAAGTTCTATTCACACAGTTCTCTTAGCTCCCAAGAGATCTTCTCCCTTGTTTTAAAAGCTACAGCCGACTTCCCTGTTGTAAACACATAGATTATATATTTACATACAATAACATACCCATTTACACAACATACAGATGACTATTCTTTCTTCCAGACAAATTATCTGCAAAATTTCCTTTCTTCAAGGTATGGCCAGTGTGATTAAAAGAGACATGAAAAAAATGTATCTATCCAGATTGCTTTTTCAGTTGCACAGCAAAATAGATATTTTAAAAATAACATTTAAAAAAATATTTATGATCATGAAAACTTGTATGATAGTTTGAAGGTCAGCACAAACCAAAATATCGAATTTGTGAATGATTTGTAATAAATATGTGAATGAACCATGGCTTTATTACTATTTTTTTCTAATCTTTTCCCCAGCTTCTTAGTGCCCTCAGAACACAGAACTATCACATTTATTGATTCTGTTCAGCTTATTAATAATTACATTTTAAATAATATGGGCAAGGAATAAAGAATGCCAAAGTATAAATGAGGAAAAATTCTGAAAAACACGTGGGTGGAATTTAAGTGACTGTGCATTAGTGTTTGTGAATAGAGCATTTTTCACATATAGTTTGTCTCCATTCCTGAATAGTATTTGTCTGAGGTGTATTTTATTAGGGGTACATGTATCTTGTGATAGTTAATAAATAAACAAAACGATGATACATGAACAAATCTGAATCACTCTCTCTTTCCTTAGCTAGAACGTTATTTCCTCATAAAGACACAAATCACAAATACTACAGCCAAGTTCTGTTAGCCAACAAGAAAAATATTACCTTAGAAAGCAGTCTTTTGGTCTAAAATGTGTAACTCATGGCGAGTAAAGGATATTCTCTCCACTGTCCTCACTGAATATGGGACCAGATCTTTTCTGGAAATTTAGGCCCAAATCCTAAATACACCGAACTGCCTATTTTCCCCTTAAAGTATTTAAATCTTAATGACATTAAATTACATTTCTGTACCGACAGTGATTTTCTGGCGCTAAATCAGTGCTACACCATGAAGTTGTAGGGCAGTCCTAAGCTGCTCAGAAAACTAACTCCACTTCCAAGTTATGAAGACCCCAAGGCATAATTGTTAACTAGATGGACAGATACCTGTTTTGCTAGCAAAGCCTGATCATACATACAAATATATATGTGTATATATATATGCTTGATAATAAAATCCCCTTTTTCTGCTTGTGGTTCTAGACAGTGCAGCTGAAGAAGCAGGGCTGCAGGTAGGGGACATTTTGATAGCGGTCAATGGAACCGATGTCACCAGCATGCCACATTCAGAAGCTGCAAATCTGGCAAGGAAAGGTGAGTCTGAAATTATTCTATGTTACATCAATCGAGATGGTTATACAATGATCATAACCTGCAGACCATACGATGACGGAGGCTTTGGAAGTCATAATTAACAACTACACTAGCACTGCCTAAATCACTTGCTTATCTAGATCTTGCTAGGATCATAACAGAAAATGGGCCGATTGACAAAAAAAGAGCCCCAAAGCACACGCTTGACGGTAATGCTTTTAGCTCTCCTGCCTTAAAGAAAGTCTTGTGAAAACAATACCAGACACACCAAGATGCTATTTATGCCTCATGCTTGCTCAGGGAGGAAATTCCCAGTTTGCCTCAGAGCTCGCAGCAGCTCGTTCTGTGGTGCCAGGAACACGGGACTAGTCAGGAAAGCAGTGAGGGTATTTCACGAGGTAGCCTGCACTGCAGGAACAGAGAGTCAGTGGTATTAGTCAGGCACATTCTTCCTAGCAATGGGATGACTAAACCCCAAAGACACCCATGTTTGCACGTTGAAAGTCTATTGCAGCTCTTTTATTTATCCCAGATAAGGTTTTGACAGGCTCACAGGAAATTCAATAAATCAAAATGCTTTTACAAGACAGTAACAAATGTATCTTGACACATACCAAGTTATTTAATTACAGAGGTGCCATTCACAGTGCTACATCTAAGAGCATGTCAAATCTTTCAGTAGACAAATCTCTGATTACAAAGTATTTTTAACTCCACCTAGAGAATACCCCCTGGCCTGAGTCTGGGCTCACAGACAGCATTCCCAAAGTCAAATGACCCCAGAAGAGAAATCCAGCAAATGTTTTGCAAATGAAAATATGCCATAGTCACAGTTCTCAATCTCTTTCATTGCCACCTGCTCTGAAAGTAGTATCTGATATAATCAGAATTTCAGGCCTCTAGGGGCAAATCTGTAGATATGTTGATAGCATCAGCAAATACTAGAGGAAGCACAGTGTTGATAATATTACATTTTCAGGCATTCTTTGTAGTCTAACATCTCTCTGGAGCCCTTCCTTTGGCAACAGGTAAGTGAACAGGTTAGAACAGGTTAAGCTCCAACAGCAAATCTCATCAATGAGAGGCACAAATAGCAGAACACATTAGTAGATTTCACAATAGAAAAGAGAGAACTGCCAAGAACATATGACAAAAAGCAGAGACTGAAGTGGCCATAAGGACATTCTCAGGATTTTTTTTTTAATCAGCCCCAGTTAAGCATATACATCCAGTTTTGGGCAATGAAATGTAGCCAGTTCCCCAAAGCCAAAGCTTGGTTCTCGCAAAAGTATATCACAAAACATATTTTAAGAGTTGTCTTGAGGAATCTGCCTCCATTACTAATCCTCATCACCGCCCGAGTTTCATTCCTGGATTGCCACAAAAGGCAGCCAAATGTTCTAGAAGCTGCTCTGGGAGGAGAAGGGGGCGGCATGACACACTGACCCCTGTTGCTCAACAACCCATAGCAGCGTGTATTCCTGCACGACACCTATTATTATTTCTAGGTATGGCTTATGTTTTCATATTCTTCGTGTAATGTTTCAGGCCCCGATGTCCTGACCATGGTGGTGGGATCAGATATCAGCCGCTACCCTAATACGCCCAGGCCCACCTGTCGAGGGTACCTGCACAAGCGGACACAGTCAGCAATACTGAAGGGCTGGAGGAAGAGGTGGTTTGTGCTCAAACACAGCGGCCACCTCCACTATTACAAGCACAAGAAGGTAAGGAGAGAAGCTGCTGAGTAAGGGAGCTGTGTTCTGAGCTAGGGAGCTCAAGGGTCGTACTTATGGAATAGCACTAGTACTAATGGTATTTTTGGGTTGTAGCAATGTTTTCTGTTTGTGGTGCATCCAAAAGGCCCCTTGGGCGTTTCTATTTTCCTTTATATTAGCGATAGACACAGGCACTAACTGCCAAGGATTGCATGGATTCATGTTGAATCTCATAGTTCTGGAAGTCTATGAACTGAATAGGCTCTGTGAGGCTTTGCAAGAAAGGAAGTCGTTTCAGAAAGATAGAAGACATATCCTCCACCTACCACTTCATGGTTTTTTATTTAAACAGCCTAAGTTTTCTGTGTGCGCCAATAAGTAGTAGAATTGCACAGAGAGACATGGAGAAGACTCTATTTCTCAGAGCGCCGAAGGGCTGTGGTGCTGCTCAGGGCCTCACTTATCCGCTGCCAGGGGAGCAGGGAGCTGCGTCCCCTCCTAAGCACTATAGCAGAATGCCCTTCAGCTAACGGTAGTCTTCTTATATGCCACAAAACCAGGGCCTCGTGAAGACTAATACCAGCCTGGCATGACACCAAGACGCCCACTTCAAAATGGAGTCACGTATAATCCCTAGCACACAGCGGGTCAGAATGGCCTGAGGCCTTGTGCGTGTCTGCTAAACATATTTGGATACTGCACAATATTTGTCACAAAAAAAACACATGACTTCTATTTTAAAAAGTAATTTTCTTTTTTTTTTTTCTCCTCAAAATTCTTTGACTCTAACGATCTTGTTTTTACGAGTCATATGAAATGCCTGCTGGACAGTTCCTGGAGGAGCCAGTGGGCGCATTCCAGACAGTATCCAGCAGGGGGAGTATTTGGATAACAGATATTTTTCACTAGGCCAAGGCTCCGTTCATGACCGAGACAGTAGCATTTCGGTGCAGTTTGTGAGGCGGTTTAGCAGGGCCTGCATGTAATTACAAGCTGCTAATCCCTTCCCCTGCACAACTTCGTGGCAAACTTTTGCTCTGGTAAGACGGTCACACATTTCTTGGCTTTCAAAGCGACGTAGACCCACCACCACAGACTTGTGTTCACTTGATCGTGAACATAACCTGCACAAGGAGAGCCTACAGGTGAATTTAATCTACACAGCCTCCCCCTGCTAATCCTAAGAACAGAGTTTCATGGACAATGCTATTGACATGAAGAAGAAACTCCCAGGAGGCTCAGCAGTATTACATCCAGATTAAAATTAGTCACGGTTCCAGGAATTAAAGCTTCCTGATCAAACCAAACACTTCTGTTGGGTGGGGAGAGAGGGGGAATCTTGCCAAAAGTAGCTCAAAATTGCAGAAAGTGCCTCCTCCTCGGCAATTTTCTCTCGCCCTGGCCTTTCCATCAGACAACCCATCAGGCTGGTTTCCCCGCACGGCCACGAGGTGAACACTGCCCACCAGGCACCCACCAAGGCCGCACTGCAGGGGCACTGGGCCCAGCGCACGGGCAGCAAAGCAGCCTGCCCTTCTGCCAGTGTTGTGTCAGCACCACAGCGTAGGGCTCTAGCCTGACGACAGACAAAACACCCAGGCGCGTGCCAAAGAGGACATAAGCACACAGGAACTTTTATTTTTTTTCATTGAGAGAAGTATCTATTTTACCTTAATCAGGTCACTCATCAAATTCCTGAAAAGGAAAGAAATCCAATTATGCCTTTTAAACACTCTCCAATTCCCAATTAACTATTCCTGGGGAAACGCTGTTAGAAATTGGATTATGGATTAGACGGTGCCCCATAATCTTACATGCATTTGTATTTAATTGATCTGTTTTCCTTTTTTTCTTTAAATCATCAGGTTTATTGTTAAGGCTTTTTTTTTTTTTTTTTAATTCCTCACCTACTCCCATCTTTTTTATTGCCTTAAAAAAAATAACTACCTGAATCATTCCAACGTTGTATTTTGACTGACTGCAGGCTCTTTCACATTGAAAACAAGCTTTCCTTTTGTTTACAGAGGTTACATAAATTTAAAGTACTGCATAAATACTTCATAATAGGAATTGTTACTTGTTTTCTTGCATTCCCAAGGAGTAATGCCATTCAACAACTCTTTGAACATGTCATACAAATTTTTTAGTCCTCTGCTCTTTCTTTCTTTCTGGACTCTAAAATACACACTATTTAGCACACTAAAATATTACAGGACAACTTAAGTACCTGAAACCACAAGGATCCTTCACTGCTTCAAGTGCTCAGGGGGCACTTTGAAGAGGCCTTTAGCAAAATAAAAGGAAAGATGGTTATGTAAGGATGCACCTTGTCACTCCGGAGAAATCCAGTGTCCAAATGAAATAAGCAGCAGCTGAACTGGACCTTTTGGCACTGTTTTTTAATTTTGGGTATGATTTCAATCAGGGCAGAAGAATAACAACATAAATAGATTCTGCTTATCTCACTTCTCTTTTTAAGAGAATTGCAAATAATGTTCTTAGTTTAACACAAGATTTATGTATCATGTCACCCAAGTTGGAAACATTACGTTCCAGGTCTTCTCTCACTTAGGAAGACAAATTCTTCCATTTAGTGCATTTAAGATGTTCTCCAAAACAATACATTGAAGACAAGAGTAATTTCAGGAGACTAAAGTAACTCAGGATAACCTGCATATCACTGTCCAAACACACCCATTTTTATCAATTTTCAGGTACAGCCAGAGTATGATTTTGATGTCAAGGTCAATAACTTCCACTGGTGTAATTCCAGTGACTCCAAATCCATTACACTGGATTTATAGCAGTGTGAGAAAACAGCTAGGCCCTCATTTATGCCTGAAATGGTGCAGATCATGTTCTGTGGCCAAACAAGCAAAGGGTGTTTCATTGTCTGTTTTAATTCATATCAACAAAACCAGAGAGCCACATCTCCTCATCACTGCTATTTACAGGTAGAAATTACCCATCCTCACCTTTTCCTTTCCCACCCACATTAAAAGAGAAATTGATGTTCCTAGAGTATTTTACATATTGATTCAGCCATGTAATTGCTGCTGTTTCAGACTCATCTCTCTCCCATCACACAGCGGTGAAGCAATTGCTGCTGCAATAGATTCAGTCGCTTGGTCCACAAGGTCATTTAGTTTTCCCCTCAGCCAGATGATGTCACTGACCTTGATTCTACAAGCAGTTATCCGTATGAGTAACTAAAATACATTTTTCATCTCAGTGGACATAGCAAGGGTTGCCAGTTCAGAGCAGAACAGCATATGTACACACTAGCTTAGATCCTTACCTGGTGTAAATTTCTGAGATCAGCAGAGCTGTTATATAATAGTTTTGCCTACACTTGGAAGTCACAGAGTTCCACCTCACACTCGGCAGTCCTGGTCGTCCATTCTCCATTCTCCAGATCACTGGGCTTTCCCGTGTATATCATTTCCATCCCTGCGTAAGTGCCTGGATTTTCTCCCAAGGAAAAATATCCAGGCATGGTGAGGAGAAAAACAAAGATGTACACTCAGGTCTTATCTTGAGACAATAGTAAGGAGAGAAATAGGCTTTATTTTTCATGAGCTTACACATTTCTTGAAGGAAAGCTGAAGATAAGCTAACACACTGAAGCGTTGATGCCTTCTCTTCCGATAGCAGCACCTGCTTCTCTAATACCAGCACTTGCTGCTCAGCACAATAAGGTAGCTGCAAAGTCACCACAACATGTCTACAGTGAAGACTGCAGTAGGACAGAGAAATCCGAACTGACTTTAAATACAATAGGAAAGATGATGCAAGCAATCCAGCCACAGTAGCACAGCATCACTTGAGCAGGTGAAGAAAGTTCACCCAGAGCTCCCTGTACCACCACCAGGTGACATCTATACCCTGGCAGAACTCGGCAAATTAACAACATGCTTCAGTTTTTGGGATAAAAAAAATACTAATACAGGTGACATCTATACCCTGGCAGAACTCGGCAAATTAACAACATGCTTCAGTTTTTGGGATAAAAAAAATACTAATACAGGTGACATCTATACCCTGGCAGAACTCGGCAAATTAACAACATGCTTCAGTTTTTGGGATAAAAAAAATACTAATACAGGTGACATCTATACCCTGGCAGAACTCGGCAAATTAACAACATGCTTCAGTTTTTGGGATAAAAAAAATACTAATACATGGAATTTATTAAAAAGAATGAAGAGAAGTCCTGGAAGCAAGGTACAAATAAAACAGTAAGGCACACATAAAGGCTGGGGAAAATGCCTCCCTCTATCATGAGGACACTGCTGCTAAAGAGCTAACAGCATTTGAGGTTCAGCAGGAAAGCACAAGGATAAAGAAAGTGTTACAGCCAAAAATACACTGCTCAAAATTCATTACAACTATTCATAATGTCGGAAGCTCAGCTAATTAAAGCTGAATATGAGTACAGTCGTAGGGAAGAGTTATACTAGTATATATAAGACTACTAAAAATAACAGCCAAAGCCAGAATTTCCTGATTTTGCCATTGCTTTCTTGCTATACAAGCTTAATTAAAGAAATAGCATGCAATTCTCTGTGTTGAAGAAGAAAAAGAAAAGAGTTGATAAAGATAAAATAATTAACAAAAGATCGTGTGTAACAAACATCCTAGCTCCTCTTTTTGCTGTCTTGTTATCTTTACGATTTATTTCCTGTCCCTTTGCCATAAATAAGGCCTGGGAAAGAGCAGAGTGAGACAGAAAACCAATTCCATAACTGGAAAGGAAATTATGAAGGAAATGTTATTCAGATTATGGTTTGGGGGAAGCTATAAAGATTGCTCCCTCCGAACAGGGAAGCGTGCCATTATCATATCCCCCCTGCACACATTGTATTTCCCAG